GCTCTTTAAAATTATTCCTCTCTTCAAGCGTTTTTCTTCCACTCTATGTCTTTTTCAGATTTTCTTTGGCTTATCCTTCTTCCTCTATTCACCACTTAGCATTCTCACAGCTGTTCTGCAGCAACAGCCTTTTTCTAGTTATTCAATTAATTTCAATTCGGTTTCATTTATAAAGTGCCAAATCACAACAGTTGTCTCACAGAGCTTTTCATAAAGAGCAGGTCTAGACCGGACTCTGAAGTTATTTACAGATTTACAGATCGATTTTATGGGGCCTCCGGGGCTCGTTTTGGTAACTTCTTAGTTTTTTGTGAGCATTAATTAAAGTTTATCCACATTACACAAACTGAGGCAAGAATAAAACATGTTTCCGTGCATCTGTTAGATGTTTATCGTTGTTTTACGAGTTTGAAATAGTTTTTTAAAGACCTGATTTTGATCGTAGTCATTAAAAAAATCCAGATGGGAGCTCAGAGAAAGCTAGATCTCACTTTGTATCGGCTAATATTTCCACAGACTCGTCTGGGAAAGAGGGAAAAAAAAGGGAATTGTCCCCTGACGGTTTCTGTGTGCGTTTGGCTGTGTTTTGCTCAGATGTGGACGAGTGCGCGCTGGGGTCCGACTGCGACCCTCACGCCCGATGTCAGAACACCGAGGGCTCCTACTCCTGCTCCTGCACCCCCCCCTACACCGGAGACGGCAAAAACTGCACAGGTAAAAGGGCCAAAAACCAGAAAATCGGCAGAAAATCAGACGATTTTTTACCCAGTCAGCAATTTTTATTAGAGGTTTTGAGGATTTATCTAGTGAAATTGTGTCAAAAGACAAGAAGACGATGAGAAATAGATGATTTCATTTAAAAGATCTGCAACTAAGACGTAGATTAATTAAAAAAATGCTCTTTAACTGGACTCCACATCTCACCTCAGTCTGTCCACATGTGGAAAACTCTGCTAACTCTATAACTTTTAGAGTTTTAGCCCACAGACGAGTGGCCTTAGCTGGGCTTTGGGCAAAGTTTAGACCCTAAAGTGACACGAAAGGTTGGAAATAAAAATTTTTTATGGGTTAAAGGATCTCGTACTGGATCAGATGAGACTTTATTTATGTTTATCCAGCTTCCTGTTTCTCCTTCGATCGGGAAATCAAGCTAGTCTTTCCAGGCTTTGTTTTATTTTGAAAGGCAGATAAATCCAGAGGGGGTTATAAATCACAGGCCAGCTCAGAGAGAGTTAAACTGAGCTTGTAAAATGTGAGATAATGCTCTGAACTCCCTCTGCTCTTTTTGCCCAGAGCCGGTGCGGTGCCCGGACCCCGGCGCCCCTGAGTTCGGGCACCGGGCGGGCAGCAGCTTCCTGGTGGGCGGCGAGGTGGCGTTCGGCTGCGAGGTCGGATACGAGCTGACCGGATCCTCCCGACTGCTCTGTTTGGACCCGGGAACCTGGAACGACTCGCTGCCCTTCTGCCGAGGTGAGAGATGCTCTTGAGACCCTGCGTCCTCATATGAGGACATTGCATTTTGCCTCTTTTTACCTCTTGAGACCATGCGTCCTCATATGAGGACATTGCATTTTGCCTCTTTTTACCATGAT